AAAAAAAAGGCATGAGTAAAACATTGCTTTACAAACCTTAAGACTTAATAAAAAAAATTTGATATTTTGCATATAAAACCATTGTAATGTTTACTGATAATCTGCCAAATTTTTGTAAACATTTGCTAACTAATCAAAAAGTTATAGCATAAAAACTATAACAAGCACAAAATGGTTACAAGGTTGGTCCCAGCGACCAAGCCTGTGCTGAATGACTTAATGTGCTGTCAGTTAAAACAGCATTTCTATCTTCATCAATGAAAACTCCTTGATATTCAAACTGACCAGACTTCAATAAAATACCAATGAAAACATTAGGTTTAACAAATTCTTCTTTGATGTGATGTAAGCTGCAAAAAGCTGATATATCTTAGTGCTTTAACCAACTTTCTTTATCAATTTGTGTTCTCAGTATACATACAGTATGTAATACTACACACTTAATCAATCTGCACCCCACTATTGGAATCAAATAATTTCAACATGTCTCTCATGCAAATCATCATGCATAATAGGATCATAGTACACTCATGTGATGCATGTGACTCCCTCTTTGTGCCTCTATTGAACTATCACTTTGAAGTTTGGCAGATGATGGAAGACCCAGTAGTGAGTATGGAGGAAGGGTTGGAAGTGTGAGTGGAAGGAAATACCTGTTGGAAATACATTTTCAGTAAAGGAATATTATAACTTTCAATACAATACTTCCCTCCATTCACAAGATTAGCTAGAATCCCACATTGATTAGGAGGAGGGACTAGGTGTGAGGGAAGAACATACATACCCCCCAAAAGCATCCAAAGGATACCCCTGCAGATGAAAGAGTCAGATCCTAAGATCTGGAGAGGGGAACCACACCACTTCTGATCCAGGTATACTGTTTGCCCAGTTGAGAAATGTGTAAAAATCAGGGTAGAAAATGAGAGGAGCACATCCTAGTGGTAGAAAAGTGATCCTAACTGGAGAAAAATATAGTAACTCAATCCCACAATAAGGAAGTGGGTAAATGAGGATGTGTCCCATGATGTAAAGTGGTTAGGGCATGGTGGACCATACTCGGCAAGTCATCTACATCTAAAACCTCCTCGTGGGGTACCAACATCCGCATAAGAGTAGGATGAGGATCATACCATCTTTACTTAAAACCCAAGAACCGGGGAGTTCCAAACTATGACGATTCCTGGGTATTATACAGGATGAGCTCTAAGCTATTGATCTGGAAATGTGACTTCCGGTATCAAAAGGAAGGAAGATAGACAACCCAAAACCTGTGCAAGGATTTATGTTGATTAGTTCACTCAAAAACCAAAACCAGCCCACACAGGAGTAGGAAGAGAGCTCCCAATGGAAGGGGTGAACTGTATTTTGATGTCTTACTCTGTTTTTTGTTTAATCGCAAATTGGAGGATATTATGTCATCCACATCAGCAGAGCACCACCACCCTACTCTGAACTGAATGGTTATAGTCATTTTAAGTGGAACCCATCCAGCAGATGCCTTCATGGTCAACCACCCCAGGGTCTTGGAACTGGTAAGTGGTAAGGACTGCAATATTTCACTAGAAGAAAAGAGGATGAGAATGCGTTGGACAGCCCAGAGGAATATTGACACCAGACACAATGCAATGGGTGATCATGAACCCTATTTTGATAAGCAGACCATCCTGATTTATTCAATCAAGGCATGGCAGGGATGGGCAGCTATCCCCTTCTGCTTTACCCATGAAGTTCATGGGTGGTACAGTCCAGGACAGGTTAATTTATAAAGCAAATATCACGAGGTTATTCACCTACAATCGATCTTGTGAAACACCCCATCTCAAAGATGAGAGTACAGAGCCATGGAAAGAAAGCACTATTCAACATGGCTTATAGTGCAGATTTATAGTTAAAGAATTTTTGGTCAGGCACCACTCGCCTCCTAGTGGGATTCAAGTAATGAAGGTATGAAGATTGGGCCCCTAAAAGAAAATAAATTATTAATAAAGACTTACCCAGTGTCAGAGTCGCACCAATGATTGGAGTATAGCTACAAATGGAAGGCAAAAACCCGAGGAAGCAAAAACCGGGATATGACATAAATAATGGGAAATAAATGTGTTAGGGTTGGTCCATGTGGCTGATTGTAAGATTTCTTCCAGAGGTCGACAAAGACGAGAAGCAAGAAAAAAGGTGAGGTGTTAGATTTGATGACAGGTAACACAGTACAAAGTGTGCTGGGAAGGGGACAAGGAGGAACAAGCCTACCAGATAAAATGAAGAACCCAACTGGTGAGTATAAAAGAGGAGAGATCCCTGGATGAAGAGGGTTGCCAAGGGATAAAGAGACAGGAACAGGAACCATGGAAGGAAGCCATGAGGGCAATATAACAATATAAGGGTATGCACAGAACACAGAAGTATATCCAGATCAGGATGGGGGTAGAGATGAGAAACAGAGGGTAGGAAAATAGGTGAAAATAGGTTTTAGGAAGGAAGGAACAATCTAGGAAAAGGAAAGTATAAGAGTGTGGTAAAATGTGCATGTAATGTCAATGGAAAACAAGTTAGACCATTGACACTCACAGACCAGAAGAAGAAGAAAATATGACTTAAGAGACAGGTAAAACAAAGAACAGAGGATATAGGTTTAAACAGAAGTAAAGTCAGGAAATGGAGGATCACATTAATATCCCAATCTGGAAGGGCAGGTCGCAGAGGAGATCAACGAATTCAGAAGGAGTAGATTAACATGGTAAGGATGGGAAAGAGAAAAATCCTAGAGTAACGGAAAAAGTATGGGATAAAGCTGCCCGATAACCTGAAATTGAGGAGACCGAAGACCCCCATTCAAAAAACCACGTGGGAAATGCTGAGACACCAGCAACAGTAGGGCGAGCAGCCAGAAAACCCCAAGCCTGGGCCTACCTGCAAAAGACCTTCCACTTCATGGAGGAAGGACAGATAGATTGGATCAAATGAGAAGCTACACAAAGGGAGAAATCAGATCTCCTTGCCAAGGGCCAGATAAAAGCCAGGTGTGAAGATAGAGGACATGAAGTGTGGGATGTAGTACCAGTGACTAGGGTTGACAAAGGAGGTCGAGTAATAATGGAAGTATTACTGGAGGGAATAATTATAGGTGGAGTAAACGAGGAAACCATGGTTTTGTTGGCCAGTAGGGAGCAATCAGAAGGACCCAGCATGGAGTGGTAAGGATCAAGGAAACTACCCGATTAAGTAATTGGATAGGAGGATAAACATACAGCAATCTGTGTGCCCAATCATGGCTGAAGGCATTTACAGCCAAAGCTTGAGGAACTGGAGACCAAAATAGGGGTAACTGGTGATTGAGGGCAGTGGCAAAAGCACTGATGTGAGGAACACCCAACAGACTGAAAAGCTACCAGAAAATGAGGGGATGAAGGGACCACTACATCAGGTAAACCTTGTTGGGGCGGGAAAGACAATCCACCATGAGGTTGAAAGCACCCAGGACATGACACAATTAAATGAATGTATGAGTCTTGTCCAACCACCAAATGAGCAAGGTTCCATTGATCGTGCAGAGTCCACTGAAGGGAGAACATGTGTGTATGGGTAAGAGAGATTAGTGGTGTCATAGAAGACCACATCCCCAAAAGTAATAGAACCTCAGGTGCAGAAAGTGAGGGAGCAGACAGGGCAATTCCATAGAACAGAGTCTGAAAGTAGAAGATTGGGCCCGACTGAGGAAGGGTTAAAAAAGGCACCCAAATGTACAAGGTATTGGGTAGGACTTAGGAAGGATTTCTCCAATTGGATAAATCAGTCTACCCAAGCATCTATGAGGAGTAGCTGATGAGTATGACAGGCCAACTCTTGTTTGAAATGGGCCAGAAGTAGCCAATCATCCATTTAAAAATGGAAATGCATCCCCAGGGCATGAAGATGAAGAGCAAAAGATCATACCACCTGACAGAAAACATAGAGAGCCAAAGCTAGCCCAAAGGGTAGGATGCAAAATCGGTATATCACTGCTCAATGGATGAACCAAAGGTAAGGTCAAGACTATTGTGAGATGGAAATATGCAGATAAGCATTTGAGATGCCATCCTTGTCAACCATAGACCTGGAACAAAAGCCCACCAAAGATTGAGGTAGGACTCCATGGTGAAATGTGGGAGGTGAACAAAGCAATTCAGGCAGAATAGATTGATGACA